TTTTTTTTTTTTTTTTTTTTTTTTTTTTTTTTTTTTTTTTTTTTTTTTTTTTTTTTTAATATCAAATATATTATAAATTGGACAGTTTAAACGGAAAGTTTAAATTTTATAATATTTCTCAAAACTTATTTTATAATTTTCGAATACTTTTCTTTATATTTCAAGGCTATGGAACATTTACAAAATTTTATTGCCGATTGCGATCGTCGTACAGAGCAAGCAAAACAACGTCTCGCGGAAACGCAAGAAGAACTTAGCGCTGAAGTAGCGGCAAAGGCGAATAACGTTCATGTACTCGCTGAAGAAATTGGCAAAAAATTGGCTAAAGCCGAGCAACTTGGCGAGGAAGGCTTTGTTGAGGAATCCATGAAGCTTATGGGTGAGATTGATGAATTACGAAAGAAGAAAAATGAGGCTGAACAAGAATATCGAAATAGTATGCCTGCATCCAGTTATCAACAACAAAAATTAAGAGTTTGCGAGGTTTGCAGCGCATATCTTGGAATTCATGATAATGATCGACGATTAGCGGATCATTTCGGTGGAAAATTACATCTAGGCTTTATCAAGATTCGAGAAAAGTTAGCAGAACTTCAAAAAACCGTCGAAGAACGACGCAAAGAAAAAAGAGAATCGTTATTGGATAGACGCAGAGATAGAGATAGAGACGATCGTGAACGTGATCGTGATAGCCGACGTGGAGGATTGGCTTATAGAGACAAAGATCGCGATCGCGATCGTGAACGTGATCGTGACCGTGACCGTGATCGCGACAGAGATCGTGACCGTGACCGTGATCGCGACAGAGATCGTGACCGTGACCGTGATCGCGACCGCGATCGTGATCGTGATCGTGATCGTGATCGCGATAGAGATCGAGACCGCGAACGGAGAGATAGGGATAGGAGAAAGTCACGCTCTCGAAGTCGCAGTCGTGGAAAAAGGTAAAAATCGTGAAAATTTACATTCTAATATTTTCTATAATAAATGTTTCGTGTGAAAATTCAAATAACATTTTGTTATCAAAATTGAAATCTGTAAACAAATAAAATATAATTAGATTTTTATAGTTTTAGTTGCTAAGAATGATTGTTTGATTTGTTTCAGATCAAAACGTTCACGCAGTAATAGCCGTAACCGTCGATCCCGTTCTCGTCATAGTGGATCTAATGATCGAAAAAGATAAAATTAATTATTATTTTTAATTATGCTCAATCATTTTTTCTTCGTATGAATTATCACGTGCTTATTTGTGCACAATGTATTTAAAAGAAAAAGAACGAACAAAAAGAAACAAAATATTTGCAGAATCATTTTTTCAATAGAGATTTTTTTTCAATATAAATTAAGATTTGTACATTATGTCCATCACACTTTATTGAGAATATCAATATTTCGAAATATATCTTTATGTAAAATTAGATATATTCACCTGTCAATGTAAAAACAGGAATGAATTTATTAGATATTAATATACTAATATACTTATTCTATTTGATCTTGATATATCGATTATACTTTTAAATCTAGTTATTTCATGTACATAAGAATAATTCAAGCATAAATCCATAATATTTGAAAATGTTACATATTTATAATATGATTACATGATTTTATGTGATTATTATATAAGCATAAGAAATGAAGATATGATCTAAAAATATATACATTTAAATAATTATTGGTTCAAAATACTGCAATCATGCATTTTCTCATAACCTTATATTTTACAAGTTAATTCGTAAAACAAAAAAAAACAGCAGAGTTATTACTGTAAAAAGTTTCGATTATAAATTGCCTTCTAAGAATAAAAATTTTAACGGTTCATAAGTTTTATAACTCACTTTTAGCAGAAATTAAAAGATACAGTTAGAAGTTTATGAAACGTCATAAATTTTTTTCTAAAGAACAAGGTTTATACGCGAAATCCTTAACAACAATAATAACTGTGATACAGAGCTGTGAAAGCTTCAAATTTCTAAAAATCGACAAATAAATTAAAATACGATATATTAAAATGTTTTATTAGATATTAAAAAATGTTAATGATAAAATATATGTAATTAATACTGTTTAAGAAGGGATATTTATTTTAAGAGTCATGTACATAATAATTATTGCAGAGCTATTTGTACATACAAAAGTTTTGCTTAAATTTACGTTTGAGGGAAGAAGACAGAACTTTGTTATATATTCGTATTAAGATTATTTACATTTTATTAATTTCAATAGTCCTTGCATTTTATAAGAAGTTAATGGTTTCTACACATACTCACGACCTTATAATAAACGAAGTTCAATCTACATTATCTTGGAAAATCAGTTTTACATATCCTGGTGTTCCTTCAAGGGGGACTGCGCAAAACGGACAAATTGCAATGTAACCATTTGTACCATGTGGAATTGCAACTTTTTCCCAATATCTGTAACATATATTTTTCCTATTATAAATATATATTGTTAAACAGATGAAAAACAAAGTATTATAGTATTCTCGATACTAACTTAACAGTTTTTTCTGTAGCCATATGTCCACAAGGTCTAAATGCATAAGTAGGAGGGCCACAATCAACATAAAATGCAGGTTCTATTCCCATAGAAAGTTTAACTACTGAACCAGCTACCAGACACATTGGACATCTTCTTGTGGCTTTATCTTTTTCTTGACCCCAATCATGGAGACCTTGTACATGTCCACATTTTAAATAAACATATGGTTGTTGTTGTGTTGAGTCTGTAGCTGCTTTACGTGGAATAACTAATGTATTTAAACCAACAGGACATTGTGGTCTTCCAGCATTTATAGCATCAACTAATTCTTCCAAATCATGTTTTGTCTATATAAAATTTTTTTTTTATTTTCAGTTTTCATGAATGTAAAAATTATAGTCTTTCTAAAAAAAATTATAATCTTACTGGTGATTTTGCTAGACCTTCGGCCGATCTCCAAAGTAATGTGGCACCACAAAGATCGATCAAAGTTCCATCTTGCAAAATGTTATTCTCATCTTCTACGACGTTTCCTTTTTGCTGGGCACTTCGACTTTCCCTTAGCGAAAAAACTCCACCACCTACACTAACTTCTCTCCAAAAGCCACATTGCGCTTCACCGCCACAAAACTGACCTCGCGGATGCATTATTAAAACGCCATTTGTTGTAAGCCCATCAATTTCACGATTTTCTTGCCACTTTGTTGCTTTTTCCTAAAACGATCAATTTTTATCTTTTTATAATTCTATATAGAAATAGTAATTTATAACTATGTAAAGAATATTACCCCTAAGAAGATATTTCTTGAACTATCGAAACCTGCAGCATATATTCTAGCAATTCTAGGATCTGATCGATCAGCTAAGATCCGACAGGCAAACCTACTAATTGTACTTTGAGCGACACGTCCCTCGTTAGAACCATCGCTTCCGCCTGCACACGTATCCATAACGACAAAATCAATAGGAGATTCGGAAGAACGTCCAACCTATATTATTCACATATATTATAGAATAATAATATAAATATAACGCAATATTAAAAAAAAAAAAAATATTAAATTTACCTGAAACATATCTGTTCCTTCATCTTCGGTATACTCGACGATAACGGCTTGTGTCCGCGAAAGAGTATATGAAATTGAGTGTTGTTTCGTATTAAGAATAGCTTGAGAGCTATGAGGTGTCTTAACAATGTAATGTTTACTGCGCTTTACACCATTTGGAACAGGTCTTTTAAATAAAACGAATTTACTTCTCCTTCTTCCTCTATCTCCTGGTGGCAGGAATCCATTGTAACTAGAATTGTAATATTGAATTGAATTTTTTTATTTTAATATTTTCATTAAAATGTAAGAAAAAAAAATTGTTTTCTTACCCCAGAATAACTAATTCTCCATATTTTACTAATTGTTTTGGTTTTTCATGACGATAACTGTGGGACCTATGAGGATTAGCATGTGAATGATTGTGATTATGTTTGCTGCGAGGACTGTGAGGTGCACCAACTGTTTCTCCTTCTTCCACAAGTAATGGACTTTCACTGCTACCACCGTCAGATCTGGAAGAATATAATTTAATAATTAATAGCAAAACTAGTAATTAATATTATTTTTATTGTATATTCAGTATATTCATAATATTATACTATATATAATGATTTTATTATAAAATATGATCATAAATGTTAGAAGAAATGAATGATTACTATTTCTGCCACCTTTTCCTTTTCTTACCACATTGTAAAATTTGATACAAGAGTTATGTTCCTTATATGTTGAAATATTCTTCGTATTCTTAAACCTAATAATGAATATAAATATTTTTACAAATATTTTCATATGGTGGAAGTACCTAATTTTATTTTTTTTATTTAATTATATTTTTTTTTAAATTATAAGTTATTTAAATTTTAAAGGTGGATGTCAGTAACATAATTGGTATCAGTTAGATTATAAATTTATTATATATATATATTTTTAAAATGATAGAAATTACAAAATTTATTTGATAATTAACTTTAATTTAGAAATTATAATATTTATTTTAAATAGTTATTATTATTTTCATATTGATTTTAAAGAAGATTCTTTTTTAAAAAAGATTATATAATTTGAATCATATAAAAAGAAGGATTTGAAAAAATTAAAGATAAAATATTAAGTCACCTCTCTCTCTCTCTCTCTCTATTTGTAGATCTCTGTTTTTTCTTGTCCTACAGTATGTAATACGTAAACCACTTACTTACCGCGAAGGGCATGGAATACGTTTAGTTACTGGCATCCTCCTTTGAGTAAAATTAACAGATTACTACTTCCACTGTACTTCAAAAGATACTCATAAAGACATACAGTCTTAAGTATCTTTGCGAAGTTGAGCAAACATGAGCAAGTGCAACATGGGATGCTGTGTGAATTGGTAATTATAATCTGCAATAAGAAATATTTAGTGTAATGATAATTGCTATATTGTTATATATTTTAACATTCTCCTAGTTTTAATAAAAGTTTCAATTAATCTAATTATTCTCTTGATTGAAGAAAAAATAAATGATTAATTTCATTAATAAATAACTAAATAAAGATTTATTATGTTATTCTATATACAATAATACTCTATTTCTATATACAATAAATAAATCTTTTGTAAAAATAGCTGGTTTTGTTTAAAAAAAATATAATAAAATTTATTTATTATATTTCAATATTTATTTATTTAAATTAAAATAACATATTACAAACAAAATATAAAATATATCATTATTTATCATATTAATTATATTAATATATCTATCCTTGATCTAATTGTATATTTATCTTATCTACATATTCATTTTTATCAAAACATTGCACCCATCAATTGCATTAGTATGAATAAGAAACATATTACATTAAAGATTTCTAATAAATTAGAAAATTGATACTTGCATATTTGCAACTCTAAATAATATTTATTTAAATGATACATGCTTCTCATTTAAATAAGTTAAACATTTTTTTTTAAATAATACTTAATTTTTTTTATAATATTAAATCTTAAATCTAAATATTTCTAATTTATTTTATATTACTTTATGCATCATAAAATAAATAAACATAATATAAATAATATATTTACTTTAAATATCTTCCCTTACTTTAAATATTTAATAGTATATTAAATATTTAATAGTAAAAAACAATATTTAAGTAAATTTTTAATAATAATTTAATTATTTTTCAATTTGATAATATTAAAAATTTTACATAAATAATAAAACATAATATTTATAATTAATAACATTTTTCTTTTATCACATATATTTATGTACTTTTTTGGAGAAAATAATAAGACACTTTGTATAAAACAAAAATATTTATTTCATTTCATGTGCCAAGTAAAATATTTTGGACAAAATATATCTATCAATTTATTCATTTGTTATTTTCATAATATAAATATTTTATGTGCATATAAATTAACAATAAATAAAGATTTCGAGAAATTTTACATCATATTTAATCTATAAAAAAATATTAAGAATAGACATTAAACTCTGTTGATAAAATTTATTTTTTGAAAAAATATTATTCAGGTAGCATCATATATACAAAAATAATAATATAAAAATATTTATTTCATAAATAAATAAATGAAAAAGCTTTGAAATTAATAGATTTGAAAAAAAAAGGAAATGTCGAACAAGCACAATAATTATAAAGGAATCACAATGTACAAACAACATTAATTAACCTAAGCATCCAGAAACGATGGTCTATTTACCGTATCACCATGCTGAGCTCTGCGTTCAAAAACGGTATCGCTGCACGTTCGAGACACGCAACAACAGTCAGTTGATCATATACACAAAAACTAACGAAGTATAAAAATCATTTGTCCACTGTTAAGTATGCCTTAATTTAATTTTCCATTTCTAAATTACACTGTTACTATGTTCATGATATTCCAATAGTATCGCGCTGATCCTCTTATTCATGATTACGGTACACACGAGAAATTACAATGAATTTTATTAAAATGAAATCACTTTAATGAAAAATATTTGTATCAATAATATTTCACGATAAACAAGACACCGATATTTCTTTTCCGATAAACGCTAGACACACCGATTATTTGTAAGTACCTCGCATAAACTATACTCATCGAACAATCACGACCGAAGGATATACGAGTGGAAGCTGACATAGGCACCAATGTAAGAAAAAAGTCCCTTGTTTTTTAACACAATCTAACGTCTGCATAGTAGAACTAATGTAGCGCTAATTTCAAATGAATCAACAAGTCTATTATTCATATATATATTTAATAATTAATAATTAATTTTTTTTACTTATGTTTTTGATGTTCTAACAATTTTTTGTATAGAAATTATGAAAAAAAAAAATAAAAATCAATAATACATATTCTTTATAAAAAATGATTTATTCTATAAAAAAAATAATTTAATATGATTTGTTATTTGTACTATTATTTCTTGGACAAAAATAAAAAATTTTAAGTAAAACTTATAAAATTAATATACTATATTATATTTGATTATTAAAATGTAATGTAATAATTTCTTTTGTAGTTTGGATTCGAAACAATAAAACGAAATAATTAATTATCTAATAACTTGTAGTAAGTAAATTATTATTAACTAATAATATTGAAATGTATTATGTTATTAAAATTATAACTATAGAAGTATTAAATATTGTTTTTATATAATTTGCTTAGAATTCAATAAATTTAATTCAATTATTTTCATTATCACGATATTTTCATTATCTTAAATTGTCAAAAAAAATAATTTTCATCTATCATTATAAAAATTAAACAAATATTTTATATATATAATATTAAAAAAATATAATTTATTTTCAATTGAATAAATAAATACTTACATTTTATATTCTGCTTGTAAAACGAATGCAATAGATACGAATACCATTATTTGATGTATGATTCCGCTTTTGCTAGGAATAATATGTCAAATGAAAACTGTAATTATAAAAAAAGATAATTATTGGAAATAAAACATATAAAAAATAGAATACTCTTTTTATTATATTTAAGCTGGAACACATATAATTTTTTTTTTATAAGTTTTTTACTCTTGCTCACTGTAAAATCTTGTCAATTAATTGTATTGAAAATATATTAATAATATATTAATTTCATCTTTTTTTCATTAATTATATCTTGAATATTGTTTAACATAAATTTCTTTTTCATACGAGTTGTCATTTTATTGTTTTATCGCAAATATTTTATAATCAATATTAAATAATTATCGCTGTTATAATTGAATAATTTTTAATAATTTTTAATAAATTCTTTAGATGTCTTTAGATGTTAAAATATTTTTTTATAACAGCATTTAAAAATATTTATTACAAATATGTATTTATATATATATTAAAAAAAATTATTATTTAATTCGTATTTACATAAATTATTAATAAAAATAACTCATCTATCCATAGATAATAAATTATTTTTTATTGTCATGAATATTTAAATAAATTATATTTAAATATATAATTTAAATGTATAATGTATAAATTTGACATTTTGTAATACTAACATCGTTTGAAATTCCTTCCATCATTATACATGGATGAAATAAAATATCTTGAATGATCATGACTAAATAATTTTTTTCAAATAAAAAATACATTTTAATTTATTCAATTGTTATTATGATTAAATTTCCTATAAATAAGACCATGTTATATATTTAGATTAAAATTTTATATTATATATTTATCTAATTTAATTATAAAAATATTATATTATTCAATTGAATTTCTCTTGCATTATCACAAACGAACGAAGTATAAAAATTTATGATTTGGCATGGAATATATTGATTTTTTCAATTAAGTTGGAATACAATCATTCTTAATGTCTTATCATGTATTATTATTGTTAGACTTTTTTTAAAATGTGAATTTCATGCTATTGTTCTTTTTTACAATATCATCCTATCATTCAACAAAATAGTATCATTATAAGTTTCTATTTTAGCATTAATTTTACTATTATTATAAGAAATAAACATTTTTTTTTCTTTTCTTTTCCTTTTACCTCGGCTATCAAGAGAGTAAAGCAGAAAATCAAAATGATGTTTTGTCTCAACAATTTTGACAGAGTCTTCTGAAATGGCCATATCCCAATGATGGACAAAAGACGCTTGTTCAATAGATAGGCGGGTTGTTCGAAGAAATCCATGTCGACTGTCGTCGCACTTCTTTCATTGCTTTGACTCATAATCTCTAAGAGAAGTGAAGACTCAATCAATAAGAACTGCACAAAGAAAATCGACAAAGATTCGCTCATTAAATCATTAATGGATCAATTTATTATTTAAACAGTCCATCGTTTTATAACTCATTAAATGCGATAGATTTTCGCGTTTTTTTTTAGAAAGACTTCCCTCAGTTTTTATTCTTTTAAGACTCAGATATATTCGTAAAATG